AATATATGTGATAGTATAGAACTCTCAGCATGTAAATTTTCAACAAATTATCTCCCAGATCTAGGAGTATTGTTCGAAAGATACTTTTGGACGAAATGGTTACTGCATCGGAATGATGCTAATAATAACAGTATTCAAGGGAATGATATGAAATAGCCAGCTACTTCTGGATGGGCATACACTCCATAAAGAAGAATCAACAGAAATGCAAGCGTAATTCTGGTGGTGACGGTTCATTCAGGCGGCACAAAAATCTGCAACTCAAGCTAAATATGTGACGGATAGAAATACGATGTACGTTTTCACACTGAAAAGTCTATTTCCATATAACGTAACATTTCTCCCTCTCCTTTGTTATTGACTCGAGAAACGGAGAGTTGGAAACGGTTTAAAAATGTGCCAGAGTACATGATACGTTCAAAGGATATATTTAAATGATTAAAACAAAATTGAAAAGACAAATGTTCAATGGATAAATTTGGTAGCCCAAAGTTCAAGCAGGCTAAACCCTTTGTTAATGTTCATAGATGTTTATGCCTTAAATGCCTTGATAAATACGTTAACACTTGTTATAAACTGAAGAGAGAATTGAAATACATACTTCTACTTATGATCTATCAAACTTTGAGCCAGTAGAAACATTAAATGCTGATAAATGAATTATCCCAGAACTCAGTTTACAATAATAATTTGCAAAAGAAATGATGTGAATGAGTTTTATTATCTGACTGACGGTAAGAGAATACCTCTCACTTATTTGGATAATGTAATTAGAAGACGTAGGTTATCTGAAAAATATGATGTATTAGCGCTATACATTTCGAACAATCTGATCACACATTTACTTGTTAGGGCACTATATATGAAAACTGGAAGTGGGGGAAGGACACATATGACATAAAGGAATTCAATAATAAGAAAGATAATGAGAGGAATAAAAGATAAGACTTGAAGACAATCTTGGTAATACAATAAAATAAGCATTACCAAGGTAGGCTTAATGTAAGGACAAACTGTTTTTGCACACACAATTGGGGGTTAAATTTATTTATGGCTAGCGCCTCAACAAACTTAAGTATACGCCCCTGACAGTTTCTATACAAAATTGTAAAGGCTGTTTGAATATCAATCCTGTGACTCTTATCAATGATATGTTTGCAATGGATGATGGTGATGATGGTTGTCTGCCATCTGCACTTATCAATGTTTGTGAATCCAGTTGCTTTCGTAGCCACTTTGGAACATGTTCCCCTACCCTGAAGTGCATATCATGATTAGTCCTCCCTATGTATGTTTGTCCACACACACATGTAAATTTATAAACGAAATGGGATGTGACACAATCGTTTATACAGCGTTGAGGTCTAGGTAGCAGCAGGTGTTTGGTCTTCTCAACTATGATAAGCTTAGCTGCATAGTACGGTTTGCTAACAGCAGACCTTAACCTTCGTCTTAATATTATGCTGTTAGATTCTCCTCTGTTTCGTAACGCGATGTAAACGCATTTCTTCGAAACAGAGTACAGATTAGGTTTGAATCCTCGCTGATTTTTGCAGCGATTTATAAACTTCAATGGATATCCATTTTCCACTAATTTTTCCGTTAGTATTTTGATATCATCATCCATTGAGTCCTCCGTACAAATACGCTCGATCCTTTTAAATAGACAAGTTACCAAACCTCGCTTGTATTGGGTTGGACAAGAGCTATGGAGACTTAAATACTGACCTGTCCAAGTGGGTTTCCTGTAGATCGACCGTTTTATTGAACCATCATTTCTACGACTTAGGAGTATATCCAAGAATGGCAGACTATTTTCTTTTTCTTCTTCACTTGTCAGGCTTATGTTGTTTTGTACGTTGTTAAGTCTTTCTAACAAACATGTTGCATCTTCATGCTTATCGCATATGACGATTATATCATCAACATATCTTTTATAGAGAGTAACTTTATTGATGAGGTCGCCGGTGAAGCCCTCAATGTGTGACATGTAAATATCAGCTAGCAATGGTCCTAAGGGACACCATCTATTTGTCGAAAATGTTCACCTTCAAATGTGAAATGAACTTTATCAGTACACAATAATAATAGCTCTCTCGAACATGTTGAGGGGATAGGGAAAGAAGGATTACTGGAAGATATATGATCACAAAGAATGTGAATGGTTTTAATTAGGGGTACATTAGTAAATAAGGAGTTGACATCAAATGAATACAATCTCTTATCTTTGATATTAATATCACTGACATAACTAACAAGTTCAAAAGTATCATGTCATATGTGTCCTTCCCCCACTTCCAGTTTTCATATATAATGCCCTAACAAGTCAATGTGTGATCAGATTATTCGAAATGTATAGCGCTAATACATCACATCTTTCAGATAATCTATGTCTTCTAATTACACTATCCAAATTCATAAAAGGGACTAATTGTTTCAACCTCTCACTTATATTGCAAAATTAACCTATAACTGTTGATACATTTTTATCTAATTTTTATTTGATAGAATGAAGTAATCAAAACTTACTTTCATGATGCAACATAATTAGTTTTTAACAAAAATCATAAATGATTGGCTTGAAAGTTAAAAATTATTATTTTTAAAAGTACTACCGATAGTAAGATCTGTCACATCAAGTTGTGTCCACTTATTATCCGATATAAGTAAACTCTTTAAACGGTAAGTTCAGTAAATTGAGCTTCAGTTACTTTATATTACATTATTATTTGTCGCTTGGGTTCTTAGTGGAACATATGGCTTCAGTAGCACGTCTCCATCCCACTCTCTTCTTTGCAATCTTTTAAACCTGGCTGCATGACAGCCAAGAAGCTCTCATTTCTTCCTCACACGATCTCCTTCATGTCATCATCGCCTAAAACATTCAACTTGTCGTTTCCCATCTGGGTTCCACTTGACGGCTTGGCCTCGCCTGGTGGGTGATATCCCCAGTCGACCTTCTCAGTGCATGCTCAATCCGTCTCCACTTCCTTCTGCATATTTGTTGAGCGATAGGTTCTTGCTTAGTTGATTCGTTATCAGGCCAGAGTTCCTTGTTGATTAATCTTTCTGGCCATCTGAATTTCAGCAATGATCGTGGATAGTTGTTGACAAATGTCTGTAGTTTTTGGAAATGTTTTTCGTGACGCGCTAAGTCTCTCAACCGTATAGAAGCACCGACTTGACTGACGTTAGTGTTGAAAATCTGGATGTTGTTCACGCTTTATGCTGAGTGCAGAAGTTCTCCACACTGATTTCAGATAATGAAAGTCTGTCTTGCTTTACCGATCCTGGTTTTGACATCTTTGTCTGTACCGCCGCTGTAGTTGAAACGATGCTGCCTAGATAGTTAAAAGAGACTACTTCCTTTAGGTTTCTCCCGTTGAAGGTGATTGGAGTTTGTTGTTGCTGGTTGGGTAAAACACTGAGAAAAATGCAATCTGCTTTCATAAGTGAATTTGTGTACTTTAATTTTGCCCTACTCTAATATCATCCAGTCAGTTATGATACCTACAAAGTTGTTAAAATTTTATGCTGCTGATAAAACGTCCAGCTGTCCTCTTAACCTTGTGCATACTTGTAGAAATAATCTTCGATGACACAAGTTCCTTTACTATATTACAAGAAGCACAGTGAAACTGAATATGGTATGCAATGTCTAGTATAAAAAATACAACAGTAAATAAAGTCACAAGTTTTCATGTTTCGGTCATATAATGAAAGAACTCAGTAAGCGGAAATCTAACTCATTATAACGATTGCATTTGATCGCTACTGAGTCTTAGTCGTTGCTTGGACCGAATTAGTCAATCATTGTTGATACATGACCTCCTATGCGGAAGCCTTGATATTAGCGGTACGCATATTTCATCTTGATAAGTCCCAAAGAGGACGAAACGCTAACCACTATCCATCATGAATATCAAAATTATCTCTGATTTTTCCTGTTCTGTTAACTCTTCAGCATTTTATGCATATTCATTTTCTATCTTCTTATTGTTTTTATACAGTTAACTTTAATATTTCATTCCTCTTCTCGGTTTTTGTGCTATACCACTTTGAATTACAGTAATGACATAAACTATTGTTAAATTTTGAGGGGGTTGTGGAGATTTGGAAATATTTCAAGTTGTTATTCATCGAAGACTGACATCAGTTGGAGGAACAAAGGAAACCTGGGAGCACTGGACAGCTGTTTCGTCCTAGTATGGGACTCCTCAACAGTGCGCACCCACCACCCCACCAGCAGGGATCGAACCCGCCACCTTCAGGTTCCGCGGCTAGCGCGTTACCATTGAGCTAGCCACTGGGTCACAATCCAGTGCTCCATATTTCCAACTTCTGTTAGCTCACGATATAGCGCGAACCGCCACCCAATGTCATCGTTGAGTATTTGTCCTCACGGCCATCAGGCTTTGACTCCACCGGTCACAGCTTGTCATTGGAACTTCGGGAATAATTCTCGAAGCTAGTCACCAATGAGCACTAGTTCAATAAAATTTTGAGGGGGTTGTGGAGATTTGGAAATATTTCAAGCTTGATGGCCGTGAGGACAAATACTCAACGATGACATTGGGTGGCGGTTCGCGCTATATCGTGAGCTAACAGAAGTTGGAAATATGGAGCATTGGATTGTGACCCAGTGGCTAGCTCAATGGTAACGCGCTGGCCACAGAACCTGAAGGTCGCGGGTTCGATCCCTGCTGGTGGGGTGGTGTGTGCGCACTGCTGAGGAGTCCCATACTAGGACGAAACAGCTGTCCAGTGCTCCCAGGTTTCCTTTGTTCCTCCAACTGATGTCAGTCTTCGATGAATAAACTATTGTATTATTTTGTTGTATTCCTTTTTACTTCATTAATCAAAGAAAAAAAACATTTATAGAAGGATCTTTTAACTCATTAAATTTCAGGTACTTATCAATAACAACTGTGAATTTAACTTATACTCTGTTCAATGAATCAGGTGTATTCAAAGCATTTAAAGTGAACACATATCACATATCACACAATTCATGTTAGGCGGTATTCTTCACAGATACTTTACAATAAATACTTTTATACAAAGGTTAAAAATTATTGCATATAGATAAATGTACACTTTTTTTTTTCTCAAGAAAAGTCATTAAAAGAATTAAGCGATAATAATATTTAATTTTGTCTTGGGGAATATTTCACTGTACATCTTTTAAGAAGGTTCAGTTTAACACACTATAATAGGATGCCTAGTGTTATAAAACACAACCGTAAGAAGAATAATTATTTTGACGTTGATGTGTTATTAGTTCATTTGAAATATTTCTAGATATTCCAAGGTGATGTTGATTAATTCCTTGTATATGATCATCATCATTATTAGATGGAATAATGATATTCTCGTTTTCATTGGCAGTAAGATAATATGGTCTACTTACAGTTGGAGTTGAACAGTTGATTTGTATGTATGGAATATGTGAACTGTTAGTTTGAAAATCATTTGGTGGTGGTATAGTAGAACTGTTTGAAGGATAATCTATTGTTAAATTTTTGAAATCATTATTATTTTGATTTGATGATGATTTTTTCTGCTCTAAATGACCCATATATCTTACTGGTGATTCTTGATGATATCGTGGTGACAAAACTTCAGAACTCTAAAATATCAAAAAGTTAACACAATTTTATTTCAGTCAACAAATAAATCAATAAATACTGGAAACCAAAATTTTAGTTACCTATCTGCAATAAAAATTTTCTACTGATACTCTGATTAGCTTTGAATACAATTTTACTAAGACTTTGCTTTTCGCACAACAAGTGGCTATCGTGACTCAGTAGTGTAGTGAATAACGCTTTGACGTTTGAAGCAATCGCTTTTGAGTTTGAATCCTGGTGGGAACAATATCACTCAATGAGAGGCAAGCACATCCAACTGATGAGTACCAAACAGGATGAAATACGCATCCTGGATTCTACTTCCAGCCACTATTCATCATTACTGCAATTGTACAGCTTGAAAATGATATCTCTGAAAAGAGTATCCCTTTCATTAAACATTTTTTGTAAAATGACTGAATGAGGATTTTTAAACTTTTCAATAAATACTTATTTTTTCAATTCTTGTGGGATAAATGATACCTGTAATTCACTAAAATTCATTAAAATTTATCCGAAAATGTTTGCATATTCCTGTTACTTTCTAATACACATTCATTGTCAAAACAGATAGTTTATTGTGAGTAAACATAGTTTGAAATCTTCTGTGTAGTTTAAATGAAGACGAAAAAACGTTTGGAATGTATTTCTCAACATTTGAATACTAACTGATACTTCAGGATTAGGTTGCATCCACACACAATCTGAGAATAAGGATTGATGTGATGAAATCTTCTGACTAAATCATAGTATTACGTAAAAAAGGTTCAAGTTAAAAGAAAGTTAGATGGCAACAAGACTAAACTAAGGAATTATCCCAATTAGCCTCTTCATGTTCCTTTGTGTCATGTAAAGAAAAGTAGACCTCCTTATTGGGGCCTATATAACAACCGAAATAAGTGATTGGAGACTGTTGGTGATATCATTCAGAATCGATTTTACTGGCACAGATTTATCCACACATTATCTTAATGCTTTCTTTCTCTCGACGACTTTCTCCTTCTTTCATCTTCCTGCATTGCATCTTGATCTACTAATGTGAGGTATGATATTTTATACCTTTAGACAGAATTAACCAGGTCACACGTCAATATTGACTGAGTGTTTATGATGTGATTTAATTTTATCTTTACTTTTACAGTCGACGGTTTCATGTTCATCTGGTTGAATAGATAAATAAACCTATATCGATTTTCCACTGCTTATAAGTAATAATGTTGTAGCTCATAGAGATATGAAAGGTGTATCCTCACAGAGAAACATATACAAAATAAAAAAAAATGTGCTTAGTATCAGTTGATCAAAGAAAAATGAGAACCTTATTTGAATTGACTTGTTGGCGGTTGTTATGAACATAGCTGTCAGGTAATTCAAAACTGTCCATGCGTTGAAACGTTGGTTGTTGTCCTTGATAATTGTACGGATTTCTTCCTGCTTGTTGTACTGATAGAACGGATGGATTGTATTCATCTAAAATATATGTACAAAATATAACTGAATAAAATGAATTTCTAATTTAATCGGTTATGCATGGTAGATCATGCAACTGGCAATCGAAAGTTTGAAATTCAATTCAGTGTATAGACCTCCTGTTATGATAAAAGGTTATACTGCTTTTGTATATTCGTTTTTGGGAACACTTCATGTGTGATGATGGTAGGATACAATTTGCTGTTTGACTAAGAACAACTACAAACAATCTTGGCGGAACAGTTGCTTGGTAAGTGAATGATATTTAGGTTCTTGTTATAAAGAACGCTGCAAACTGGCTTAGTGATTTCAGTTTAAATTAAAAAGCTACTTCACTCAACCACCTCGTTGGATGGAGGTCGTGCAACATCGCGAACGTATAGAAGTACGAAAATGTGGATCATTGGATCCTTACCTGCTGAGTTAGTGGTAACGTCCTGGTCGCGGAACCTTAAGGTCCTAAGTTCGATGTCCGGTTGAGTCATAGGTTCGCACCGCTGCGGAACCCCATACTAGGACGAAACAGCTATCTAACGCCCTCTGATTTTCAATGGTTCTCTGATATCACCCTATGATGAATACCAACTTGAAATCAAAGTGATATTGAAAAGTCTTCGAAATAAATCGATACAAACAGATGAAAAATTTTATGAAGTAGATTTCTACGCTAACGTTTGTTTGTTTTTAATAGTTTGCCAACACAACCTAAAGATTATTCAGTAGTGAACAATGATTTCTCATTGGAGTGTGCAAGCTTTGCTTTAACTGACATATTGAAATTCCTTAAGAAGAAATTCTAGCCTAACTAACTGAATGAATAGCATGTCAAATGGAATGGCAGGTTGATATATAGAAAATATGAAACGTTTTGTGTAAAGAACTTGTATTTTTTATGACAAAACAAAATGCATAACAAATAAGAACATCCATAATTAAGGAAATGATACGTAGTGAATCATTTGCAGTGATATGCACTAATTATGAGTTCTTAATAATAATAATATATCAAGTTGTTATTCATCGAAGACTGACATCAGTTGGAGGAACAAAGGAAACCTGGGAGCACTGGACAGCTGTTTCCTCCTAGTATGGGACTCCTCCTTTGTTCCTCCAACTGATGTCAGTCTTCGATGAATAACAACTTGAAATATTTCCAAATCTCCACAACCCCCTCAAAATAATAATATTTTTGAGATGAATAAGGATATTTTTTAAATTTAGAAGTAGTATTTATCATGGACTAACATCAGTTGGGGGACCATTGAAAATCTGAAAATACTCCACAGCTGTTTTGTCCAACTAGTATGGGACCTCTCAGTGGTACGCACCCACTACCCAACAGGGGGTCGAACTCAGCCCCTTCAGGTTTCACGGCGAACGCGTTAACCGTTTAGCCACTGGGTCGGTTTCAAGTGGTTCACAATTTACAACTTCCAAATTAAAAATCTTCATTCATCTCAAAAATGCATTAGTGTATAGTGCTCATTGGTGACTTGCTTCCAGATGGATATCACGAAGATCTAATGAGAAGCCGTGATCTGTGGGATCAGCCAGTCGGGAGTGGAGTGGATACTAACTGAAGACGTTGGATGGTAGTCGCACAATGTCGTGAATTGATCGAAGTTGGAAATTGTGAACCACTGGAAACCGACCGAGTGGCTGAATGGTTAACGCGTTCACCGTGAAACCTGAAGGTGCTGAGTTCGACCCCCAGTCGGGTCGTGAGTGAATACTGCTAAGTAGTCCTATAGAAGTCGGACGGAACAGGTGTCCAGTGCTCCCAGATTTTCAATGGTTCCCCAACTGATGTTAGTCCATGATGAATACTACTTCTGAAATAATAATAATAATAATAATTATAATAGCTTTGTTCCAAACAATATGCGTGATACAGGGAAGAATTCTCGGAGTGTATTTCTGCACCCTGAATAATTTATTCGCATCTAATATTATAATTTGTTTTGTTGTGATGTAAACTCGAGAAATAGCTAGTTACAAGGATATTCAAAATGTGACAGAGTACATTATAAGTCCAGACAACATATCTTAGTGCTGAAAATAAACTGAATCGAAAAAATTTGATAAATTTATTTTCGATCGAATATTTTAATAACCCAAGGTTTAAGCAGGTCACTGTAATAGATTTTTGTAATCAATATACTATGGTAAGGTGAGAGTTTTTTTATTTTCTACTTGAACTTTGTATTTACAAATTTATTACAGAATTTGACAGGAAAGAAAATATAATAACCTTGTTGGTTAACAATTTCAAGCCTTATAATCCACATCTGCAAATATCCTTGATAATCTCATAGGATTGATTTAAGTTAATGTAAATCTAGTCTGACCTGTGGGGTCAAGCAGTCGGATGTGAAGTGGATGCTAACTGAAGACCTTGGGTGATAGTCACGCTATGTCGTGAACTGACAGAAGTTGGGAATTGTGAACCATTGGAAACCGGCTGAGTGGCTGGGTGGTTAACGCGTTCACCGTAAAACCTGAAGATGCTGAGTTCCATCCCTAGTCGGGTAGTGGGTGCGTACTGCTGAGGGGTCCCATACTAGTTGGACGAAACAGCTGTCGAGTGTTTTCAGATTTTCAATGGTCCCCCAACTGATGTTAGTCCATGATGAATACTACTTCTAGATCTAGTCTTTCAAACTCCTGTTATATTGTATATTCTTGATAGTAAATCCTTTTGTTTGATCAGAAGGTGAATGGATGATTTTCATTAGTAAGAAAACAAAAATGTTTATTCTCCATTTTTATCATAGTAACCAGGGCTCGATTGTACGGCTTTTCAAACATAAGAAACATTGATGGAATTAAATTTACTGCTCAGTTTTTGGTACCATAAATTGAGATTTTAGATTCGGTCGTGACAACATTTTGTGTGTGTTTTACTAACCCTGCTCACTTACAAAATTAGCTAGATATACATCTTACGTTTCGGTCGTCACAGTGACTACTGTTTTAAGATGATTAACAGGAACAAGTTGAAATCATTTTATTTAATTATAGTATGAGGATTTTGGAACTGAGTTAATTAGAAACTACCGTTTGAAATCAAGAAGCGAGGATGATGTCATGGCAGGAGTATTTTCGTCAGACCTAGAATACTCAGATGACATGGTCCTGTTAGTTCTGTGAAGACGTTGACAAGATGTAGAGTCTTCTGGACACTTTGAGTGGGAACTTTAGAATGTTTGGGATGCGTTTCTCAACATAAATTTTGTTCACTACGTCTATCTATATGACTAGAAGTTCTCTATGATCAAGACAAAGCGGGTTTTTCTAATAACCATTGCAATTAAGTTGTGTTTTTTTGTTTTCTCATGCATTGCATGTAATACAAAGTCCATTGATTGGGACATGCGCTTATTTTTGGTGTTAATCGCAGTATTTATTCTGTCATTAAAGTCAGATAAATAAATAATAATAGTTTCTGAGATGGTCAAACGTATTCCTCTTAAAGTTAGGCATACCAGTCAGATATTTTGAAGAGAAAAGCAAACTCACCACCTCCAAGAGGATTAGAACATTGTCTCCATGATGGCATACGACCTCCATGAAAGCTAGTAGTCATTCCACTTTGTTGCATCCAACTAGGTGGAGAGCTGTAGAAAGTTCTTGCATTTGAATTAAGTAAATGTGAGTTTGTATGAGGACTTGGGCTCAATATGTTCGGTCCTAAACCACCATTGGGAAGTGTCAGACCACCGCCAACTTGTCTGAAGTCATCAGACAAATTTGCATGGTGTGAACGTTGAAAAGTTGAAAGGCTTCTTTCTAAACTGTTGGTATTTCCATGTCCATTAGATCTAATTGTTGACACACTTGAAGCAGCTCCAGAATGAGGTGACCGATTCCTGTTACCCTTTTCGGCTAAAGTTCTACCGACACTTACAAGTCTTGGATGCGTGGGTGTAGGTCGTTCGACGTTTTGGCGAATTCCGTCTATATCGTAATTAAAAGTTGAACTAGTATTTGGAAATCCAGTGTTTACAAGTTCTGGACAGTCATTGTAATCTTGGACTGTATGCACTGGATCTACTGTTGAAATATCGGGGTTTAGATAGGCCATTGTGGTTGGATCATGATTATTTATAAACATTAATGAAGGCTGAATAGATATATCACTAGGAGGTCGATTACTGAACTCCATGTGATTTGGAGAATTGTAATTTTGTGTATTCATTGCTTTCATGCTAGAATGAGGAGAACTTGAAAACATTTGATTTCCTCTAATAATTGACGACGCTTGGTCTGAACAAATATTTAAAGGTATCCGTTCCCATCCGTTTTGAAAAGGTGAAAACTGAAATAGAAAAAAATACAAGTACCTCTACAAAAGTATAACCGATGATAAACACTAACTGCATGAATATTATCGTCTTCTAATCTATGATGATCAAGTTCATGTATGTAAATACACTATGCCATAAACTATCATAAATTTCTCTTATAAAATGTTGTTGAAGTTGACGGAGCATTTTTGATTTGTGTTTTACACTAATCTTCGGTATCATTGCATAAAAAAAACTCACATCAAGGTAATTTTACTTCGTACAAGCTAAAATTTGTATACTATGGGAAAATTAAAAGAATTTGTGAATTGAGAGACAAAGAATGGTTTGTTTTCTATCAGAAATTTATATGCCAACTGAAATTGCAACTCACACAAATCTTTGCAAAGCTTCATTCTCTATGATATTGTTTACTGAAGGTGTCAAATCGTATTTTTAACTATTGTTGAGAACGAATGTCAGTCCATTATTAGATAATTTGTTAGTCTCAATCAGATAGCTGGAAAAAAGTTGCATTCTAAGACTGTATCCTAAGTTTGACCAAACGTTTCGAAGGGTATGCTATTTACAAACTTGTTTATGACGAAATTATTCATGAACTACCATTTCATGTCTCTTCTTTATTTGCACAGGAATAATCTCTAATCAGTGAGAAATGTTTAAATCCCTCCCTTATTCTTACTTACTCTTCTTAGCATAAGGCATTGTGCCATTATCATTACTGAAGCTTCAATGATTCATATGTAAAGAGGGCAACTAACTACCAAACTTTACGTTTTTATAATTACTTCTACTTTTATAGATTATCATCTAGGGTTTTGTGGATTAATACTTCTGGTACTATGTCAATGACGTTATCTACGCCGTTTACTCAAAAACAGACAGCCACTTGATTCGAACGATGGCTAACACAATTAACCAACTTAAGTAACTAAGTAGGAAATTGTGAGGAAGCAAGTTTTCTTTGCAGAATTATTTTACCCACTTGTTGTTACCGAAACCGTCAAGTAATACCTGCCAAATTCATTAGAATATGATGAAATGTATTTTTTTAACACTGAATTGTATTTTCTATGTGGAACTGTAAAGCATTTGTAAACTGCCTTCTAATGATGATGTTTTGTTCCAAATTAAGTGGCTATCTTATCTCTTACACCTTACTATGACCAATTATTTCTCGACAACAGCATATAGAGGAAATACTTTCCATTTCTGTCAGCTGAAAAAGATGATTTCAGGTGTTCATACTATAGAAACTCTCGAAATTCACCTAAGCTTTTGAATTGCCAAACAATGTATGAGTGGTTTTTGAAGCTATACACATAAAATTTAAATCTGAATACATCTACGTGTTTAAAAGTACGATGCGTGTTTTCATCACACTCGTCTTTAGATTTTGTCCAGGAATATGTTAAAGGTAACTTTTCAATGCAGTTCTCAACATTTTTATTTGTCTGCAGTTGCCAGAAATGTGGACCATAGGATATTAAGCCAGTGGCTCAGTTGTAACCTGAAGACCACGAGACCACGAGACCTGAGGGTCCTGGGTTTGACCGTGGGTCAATTTAGGGTAGCTGTGGTTGTTGTGCAGTCTCATGCTAGAATGAACTAACTGTCCAATGATCCAAGTTTTACAATGGTCCCTGAATTGCTTTCAGTTTATGACGAATGCCAACTTGTAATCAATGAATGAATAAATCACTGCAAGCCTCAAAAAGTGAATTGTGTATTATCTATTATCTATTTATATGAAATTACTTAAGAACCGTAGTGAGTTCTTAAGCAACATATTCGTGAGACTCCTTATTAAATGAATGATTTCTTAGACAAGATGAAGTAGTAATGTATAATTATATTCAGCATCACTGATTTTACAGAACCCAATGTACTATCCAACAACCTTACACATCTCATGGTCAACACCTTCAACGCAATTCGATATGAAGCACAATATAGACAGATTCTTACTACAAAGTAGGTAAACAATAGAGTGAATACTATTGATCAGTAGTGAGATGACACTTTCTGTTCATTATCTACAGATTATGAAGCTTTTATCATTGGCCACTATATTGTCTCTCGTAATTTCACTTACTTAGGTATAAGTTGAAGAATAGGCTTTACAGAATTGTAGAAAACAGATGGAACATTATAATACAGTAATCTCAATAAACAAGCTCTTCAGTAAATAGCTTATCTCCTGGAGATGTATCGTACTAAATTAAACTGATTTTCTATAGTTTGAATACTTGAGTATACTACTGGAGCGATTGGTTTGCTCTTCTTGCTAGTGTATAGTAATTAATTCAAAAGATTAGGTAAAATCTTTCAGTCGATAAACCTTGTCTCTGAATGATCTCGAAGGCTAAGAAGTTGCTCTGATTTAGGTTTCATCAAGAATTCTATGTTTTGTTTTGTTATACTATGTCATAGTAGATAGTAGATACTCTGTGGAGCTTAAGACAATTGGTGTGGACTTTGAGCTCCGGTGGGAATAACATGACCCACTGAGAGGCAGGTATATGCAGCTGACGAGTCCCGAATAGAAAGAAATACGCATCCTGGATTCCACTGCTACCCACTGCCCACCATTACCACACACAGTTAAAAGACAGGCAGTGTCGAGGCATCCACACAGAAGCTTATATGCTAACAGAGACTGAGTGATTCGGTGGAATCAACGACGGTGTAATACAAACAATAATACTAAATTTATCCCCGTGGCACAAGGAGTGGTTATAGTAGGTTGTTGGTGTAGTGGATAACGCTTTCGCATTTGAAGCTGTCGGTGCCAAGTGCGAATCCCGATGGGAACTGACGAGTCCTAAATAAGGCAAAATGCGCGTCCTGGATTCTGCTGCTAGCCACTACCCATCATTACAAGACAAATAGTTTGGTCAATTCAATAAAATGCATAGAGGATGGTACTTCAACTCCTCCTTTTTATGGTATTTTGTTTGATATTCTAATAAATAAATAAATATCTTTATTCTCAAGTTATGAATTCAACATGAGAGAAGCCAGTTTACAAGCCGCATCAAACTGATAATTGCAGAGAAGCATAAAAGGTTTTAGCAGTTTTGAATTGTACAGAGGGAGGACAATAAACACTCTCATGATACCAAGTGTCTAAATGTTATGAAAATAGATGGAAAATATCACTCTAAAGTACATATACATCGTTCTAAGTTTAAGTTATTCCTGCTCACAATTCTTATTTCACATTAAAAAGAGCAATATTTGGTGTTTGCATTATGAGTAGTCGACATGACTGATCCATCTGCAAGACCCAGCGTTTCGTCAGATAAACGTCTATTTTAACAGTAATTCTTATGTTCCTAGCTCTATTGATCAACAATTACTTACTTCGATGATTTCAGGAATAAGTAAGTATCCATACAATCATTTAATTCAGGTGAATGTCTTAGTTCAGGCGTTTCTCACTCTTCAAGTGTTACCTTTTCTAGCAATTCAGATTGGTAGTACTGAAAACATTTGTTATGGTGCAAGTAATTAAAGACTGGTAGCATCGTCGTTCAACAGTGGTGAATATTACATATGTGTAGAACTTCATAGACTTAACATCAACGTATGCAACACTGAGTATGTTACGCAAACAAGGAAGTGATTTGTTAATGAGTATGAGAATAAACTTATTTTCCTGATTGATTTAGTTGAATGAATATTTTCATAAAACATATTGTACAAAGCTGATTATCCATAAGTGTCCTTCCTTTTATTCATAATAAAAAGTAAACAATCATAGTACTATTATAATTTTATATTCAGAAATAAACTGCCTACCTGATCTTGTGGACCTGACTGTAACATATAACTGGCATTTAAGCGCATATCTTCTGAATACATTGAAAAGTTGTTTTGTGGATTGCTATGTATTTCTGATAGTCCATTTTCTATTGGATAGATCTGCATAAGTTCTCCTGCAGCTATGAAGGAAAATATAAAGTTTTCTTTGATAAACAAATTAGGTTTCCTCAATACTTTTTTTAATTGTTATTCTGTTCCCCATTTCCAACTACTAGACTGTATAACTTTTATATATATGCATCGGTGTAAAAAGTCTTATTTTTATGTCAGAAAATTGTTTAAAAAGCTAAATATAAATTCAAAGAACACTTGTAGTTACCTTTTACATTTCAAAGTTTATTTTTCATCATAATCTTTCAGTTTTGTAGTTATTCAGTAAAAAGGAAGATCATTAATATTGCATCACCGAAGCTCTTCCTATCGTAATTGAAAAGCATCAAGCATCCTGTGACGAATCAATACATGTGAGCCAATCCTTCAAGAGGTTGATCGCAGCCCGAATAGCTCAGTGGTAAAGTCGTTGACTACAACACTGGGTGACACGGGTTCGAATCTCAGGCGAGGCATCATTTCCATCGAGGTTGCTGACGAGTGCTAAAATGCACGAAACTTAGGTCTAGCGTTTCCTACCAAATGTTCAGCTCTTTCTGCTTTCATGGTCTTAGTTTTTCTACTCCTCCCCCGCCTCCTTTTTTTTCTTTTCATCTTTCTGTCTCAACACTACTCACTTCTTAAAAAATTTGCTTTTCATTTTTGTTGCTGTTCTGCTTGAGCGCAATTCAGTTTCCGAATTTTTTGTTCGAACTTATTCTGAATGATATTCACTACTCATCACCTTTTTTGATTTTTTTAATATTTTAATTAATTACTTAATTAATTAATTTATTTATTGACACTATTTGTGTTATCATGCATGGCAAACCACTTGTAACTATCAAATCCTTATGCTAGGAAAAATGTTTAAATCTGCGATTGTATAACTTCAAAAATGAAATCACTGAACAGAGTGTAGTGCATTCGAAATCTTACTCACTCATCTTAGAGTTTCGATTTCTAGACTGTCTCACCTCTTCGTTGTCCAGCACTATCGTTTGTCCATTATCTTATATTATTAAATGTAAGTACATCCTGTGTACTTGTTGAGTCATCCGCTCACCTTTCTTCTTTTCCAAATTCTCGTGGCCACCATCAAACTCACACTGTTCTGAGCGCCCCCTACAACAGCGTACCTATCTATTTCACCGAATTCCAGGTGAAAAACTCTCTTATTGAGTCATTGAAGATTAACCAAAGTTATCTTCTTTAGTCTTTATTAATTATTAAATTCTTTTAACACCTAGGCTAAATAATCTAACATTGAGACAAACTGGTATTTTATTGGAATGTTTTGGTCAGATTAGTGAAAGCCTTGATTTCTTTCTATCTTCTGGCCTATTAGACGAATGAAAAAGGTAAATCTGTAACTCTATAGAAACTTACACTTTGTCAGACTCACATCTGTATACCTCAGCGTTTTAGTAAAGACTATACTGACTAGAACCAATAAACCAATGAAAGATGATGACCGAAATTTAGTTATCAAAGAAGAGGAACAAAGGAAACGATGAGCTGACCGCTTCAAAAAGCTCTTGAATCGATCACCACCTGCACTTCGTCCAGAAATACCACCTACAGCCGCTGAATTACAAGTGAACATAAATCCTCCAACAAAAGTCGAAGTTCTGACCACCATAAAGCTACTGAAATGCGGGAAAGCAGCAGGACCAGATGGAATCACATCAGAAGCACTGAGAACAGACGAAGACACAACACCGTACATGCTCACACCACTATTGCAGAAGGTGTGGAAGGAAGAGAAGGTACCTGCTCAATGATTGGAAGAAGGGTTACTTTGTCGAACTGCCGAAGAAGGGAGACCTCAGTGTTTGCAAGAACTGGCTTGGAATCATGCTCCTGTCCACCCCAAGCAAAATATTAGGCCGCATCACCCTGAAGAGACTAAAGGATGCACTGGATTCAAAACTACGACCGGAGTAGGGATGGCTGGCTGCCTTTAGGAAGAACAAATCATTTGCAGACCAAATTGCAATGCTAAATGACCCATCATCATAGAACTTCATCGACTTTGAGAAGGCCTTTGACAGCGTCGACCTAGAAATAATTTGGAAACTGCTTCGACACTACGGAATACCGCAAACCTTTATCCGCCTCATTCAACAACTATATGAAGAAGCCACATGCCAAGTAATTCACAATGAGAAGCTCAGTGATGCCTTTGTAGTGAACACAGAAGTAAAACAAACCTATCTACGGCCACCCATGATATTCCTGATTGTGGTTGACTGGATCATGCAACAAACAGTGAGGAGCAAGAAGAGGGGGATACGTTGGACTGCGGAAAAGAACCCAGAAGATTTGGATCTCGCCAATGACTTGTGTGTGATGTCACACAAACTTGAAGATGTACAGGCAAAAAAACAAGTTGACAGAAGAGGCGAGGCAGCGAAGACGGGACTTCAAGTGAATCTAGAGAAGACAGAGGTGATGAAGATACCGCACCAACAACTCCAACAACAACAAACTCCGATCACCATGAACGGGAGAAACTTAAAGGAGGTAGCCTCCTTCACCTATCTAGGCAGCACTGTTTCAACTACAGGCGACACAGGCACAGACGAGGAAGTCAAAGCCAGCCAGGTTTGGAAAAGCGAAACAGGCATTCATTAGCTTGAAACCAGTGTGGAGATCTACTGCACTCAGCATGTGGAACAAGATGCGGATTTTCAACACCAACGTCAAGTCAGTGCTTCTGTATGGTTCACAGACTTGGCGCATTACGAAACGGATTTCCAACAAACTACAGACATTCATCAACAACTGAATGGCCAGAATGATAGGAATAAGCAAGAAGGAACTCTGGCTGTCAACGCACCAACCAAGAACCCATCACTCAACAAATATGCAGAATGGGGAAGTGGAGATGGATTGGATTGAGTATACACTGAGAAGGTCGACTGGGGACATCACGCAGTTGACCAGACCCTCGAGTGGAACCCAGATGGGAAGTGACGAGTTGAGCGTTTGATGTGAGGGTGTCATTGAGGAGATGGTGTTAGGAGGAAATGAGAGGTTGTTGGCTGCCGTGGAACCAGGTTGAAAAGATTTCAGAGAGTAGAATGGAGTGTAGACGTGCTAGTGAAGCCCTATATTCCACTAGGTACTCAGGGGACAAATAATAATGATAATAATACTGACTCAAACACAAAACAAGCACTGAATAATTATTCATTTATTAAATAATATAAATAAACGCAATTGTATGAAAATGATATAAAAATTCATTGCTTAAGATTGTGTTTTGAATTTAGTTGTTGGGTCAAATCATTAAAAGTTCCTGTATGAATACAATGAAAATAATTTGAATAAGTTAATTAGAAGTAGTATTCATCAAGGACTGATATTAGTTGGGAAATCATTGAAAATCTGGGAGCACTGGACACCTATTTCGTTCTAGTATGGTTCCCCAACTGATATCAGTTCATGATGAATACTACTTCTGTATTAATATCCCCCGATTTATCTCAAGAATAAGTTATTATTAAAACTTTATACATAACTCACCGGAAACTTTACGCTCTCCTCTTTTTAATTTTTGACGTTTATTTCTTGTAAATATAAGTATAATCAATAAATTTCCAATTAAAATAAATGATCCAAATACTGAAACTGCTGTAATTATCACAAATACATTATCATCTGATCTATTCAATTCATGACCAGATCTAACTGAACGTCTTTGTGGATCAAAATTTTCAGAATTTTCAGATTGTTTAGAATTTAACTGCCATCTAGTATCCCAATGTCCTCTTTGAACATTTTTTAATGATTTAGTTTTGGCTTCATCTCTCATCACCTCTTCATTTGATACTGAATCAAAGGCTACAACATTTTCAGTTTCATAAGCAAAAAAAAAAACAGTTGGTAAAATAAAACTTTAGAATTAAAGGAAGTTATGTAGTTACATGACTTTTATTGATAATAAAGCCTACTTAAAATAATACGGTATACTTTAATGAAAGAACCTACAGATGATCAAAGAAAAATTGAGAATTAACAACTAGACAATCTGAAAATTATTTTTCTGAATGTAAAGTAACTAAACAACTATTGAGGTTAAGTTATTGAATCAGATGGCCAGAAAGAATAAGCAACAAGGAGCTGTGGGAACGAACCAACCAAGAACCTGTCACGCAACAAATATACAGGAGGAAGTGGAGATGGATTGGGCATGCGCTGAGAAGGCCAACTGGGGACATCACGTGTCAGGCCAGTTGCTCGAGTGGAATTTCCATAGGAAGCGACGAGTTGGGCGTCTGAGGCGAGGGTGACATGGAGGAGGTCGTGCGAGGAGGAGATGAGAGGTTATAGACTGTCGTGGAGCCAAGTTCAAAAGTTCTCAGAGAACAGAGTGGAGTGGAGACGTGCTACTGAAGCCCTATGTTCCACTAGGAACCCAAGGGACTAATAATAAATAATAATAATAATATTGAATAAGTTTTTGTATCATCTTTTATGATACTGAGAATAAGTAATCACATTGTTTTTAGAAAGATACACTTTTAAGAGGCATAACTACTGAGGAAATATTATATAATCTTACCACATTCTTACTTATAAACTTTTATATGATTTATCTGTAGTAAGATTACAGCAATTTTTTTTAGAATATCCCTGTTTTCTAAGAAAATGAGATAATCCGCAGTATGTTACACTAGAATTATTGTGAGAAAATATGTGAATTAGTTATTTATTAACAGAGTACCACAAACCTTTATCAACCTCATTCAACAGATATATGAAAAGGTGACATGTCAAGTGATTCACAATGGAAAGCTCAGTGACTCTTTTCAAGTGAAGACAGGTGTAAGACAAGGTTGCCAACTACTATCACCAATCATCTTCCTGATTGTGGTCAAAAGGACTGGACTGGATCATACAACAAACTGTTACGAGCGGTGAGAAGATAGGGATACGCTATTTGACAGATGAAACGAACCTAGAACATTTCGATTTCGCCAACGATGCTGATTTATATTTAATGCCACACAAACTCGAAAATCTAAAGGCGAAAACTAACAAGTTGACAGAAGATGCAGGGAAGAGAAAATGGGACTTCAGGTGAACGTAGTGAAAAAACAGAGGTGATGAAGACACCCAACCAACAACAACAGGTACCAATCACCATCAACAGGAAAAACCTAAAGGAAGTTGTCTCTTTCTCCTACTCACCTACATCATTTCAACTGCAGGCGACACAGGCACAGATTACAACGTCAAAACCTACATCGGAAAAACAACACAGACTTTCATTAATTCGAAATCAGTGTGGAGGTCTGCTGCACTCAGAACAAAGTGTGAACGAGATCTGGATTTTCAACACCAATGTCAATTCAGTGCTGCTTTATGCTTCGCCAAGCTTGCGAGTCCCGTAGAGGACTTCTAACAAACTACAAACGTTCATCAACAACTGCCACCCACACCTACACTCACTCGATAATGAAGATCACACCAAATGGCCAGAATGATAGGCAAGAATAAGCAACAAGCAACTCTGACCTCCTAACGAACCAACGAAGCAAGAAGCTATCACCGAACAAATATGAAGAAGAAGAAGAGGAAAGTGGAGATTGATTGGATTGTGCATACACTGAGAAGGTGAAGTGAGGACATGATGCAGCAGACGATGCCGTGAAGTGGAGTGTAATGTAAAGGGGAAACGACGAGTTAGTCGTGTGATGTGAGGGTGACATTGAGGAGAAAGTTTGTGGGAATTGTTTGACCAGATTATGAAGACTGTAGATAAGAGAGTGGAATGAAGGCGTGCTACTGAAGCTGTATGTTCCACTAGGAACCCAAGGCAAAAATAATATGATAATAATGTATCATATATTTGTCATCATAGGGGGTATTTTGTCAGTAAAAGAATTTCATATGCTTTAGGCTGATGATAGTTATCTCTGTCACGGAAAAGTTTGATATATATATATATATATATATATATATATATATATATATATATATATATGTCGACCGAGAAGTAATTTGGAAACTGCTTCAATACTACGGAGTACCGCAAACCTTTATCCGCCTCATTCAACAACTATATGAAGATGCCACATGCCAAGTAATCCACAATGGGAAGCTCAGTGATGCCTTTGGGGTGAAGTGAAGACAGGAGTGAAACAAGGTTGCCTACTATCCCCCATGATATTCCTTATTGTGGTGGACTGGATCATGCAGCAAACAGTAGGCAGCGAGAAGAGGGGGATACACTGGACGGCGGAAAAGAAACTAGAAGACTTGGATTTCGCCGATGACTTATGCCTAATGTCACATAAACTTGAAGATCTGCAGGCAAAAACTAACAAGTTGACAGAAGAGGCAGCCAAGACGGGACTTCAGGTGAATATAGAGAAGACAGAAGTGATGAAGATACCGCACCACCACCATCAACAACAACAACAACAAACTCCAATCACCGTCAACGGGAGAAACTTAAAGGAAGTAACCTCCTTCACTTATCTAGGAAGCATTGTTTCAACTACAGGCGGGACGGACGAGGACGTCAAAGTGAGAATCGGAAAAGCAAGACAGGCGTTCATTAGCCTGAAACCAGTGTGATCTTCTGCACTCAGCATGTGGAACAAGATACGGATTTTCAACACCAACGTCAAGTCAGTGCTCTTGTATGGCTCAGAGACTTGGCGCGTCACGAAAGTGATTTCCAATAAACTACAGAAATTCATCAACAACTGCTTACGCTCGCTGCTGAAGATCAGATGGATTGCCAGAAAAAATAAGCAACAAGGAACTCTGGGAACGAACCAACCAAGAACCTATCACGCAACAAATATGCAGGAGGAAGTGGAGATGGATTGGGCATGCACTGAGAAGGCCAACTGAGGACATCACGCATCAGGCCAGGCCCTCGAGTGGAATCCCCATGGGAAGCGACGAGTTGGACGTCCGAGGGTGACATGGAGGAGGTCATGCGAGGAGGAAATGAGAGGTTGTGGGCTGTCGTGGAACCAGGTTGAAAAGATCTCAGAGAACAGAGTGGAGTGGAGACGTGGTACTGAAGCCCTATGTTCCACTAGGAACCCAAGGGACTAATAATAATAATACATATATATATATATATATATATATATATATATATATATATATATATATATGCTATTCAACAAAATAACAAGTCAGAATAACTTTAATATCGTTGTTTTTGGAGTTAGTAAACAGCAACTTGTTTATATATTCTAATTCATTTATTCAATACGTTACACAGTGAGATGATACTGTTTACTGGATAATGTTATGAACACAATTTATTGTTCATAGTTATTTCTTGATATGAATATGAACAGTAAATTGTATGTCTGAAATATTATCCAATAAATAAAACTATTTCACTATCTAATATATTTATTCACGCCCTAGTCTTAATCTTGTGCTAATGTAACCTGTTATTTTTTTTATACCATTACTGATATAACATTCATTTTACTTATTTTGACTTGTTTTTATATTCATTCATTATGTATAGACTGTGTGTAGATGGTCTGTTCACTCAATTCCTATTCGCAAAACCTACTCTCTTTACTTTTAACCATGTCTAACTAATTACTTTTATGCAATTATTAAACGAAAAAAAAAAAACTGGTCATTTGACAGAATGATTTATTATTCCTCATATTTACTGGACAAACTATTAATTATGCAACAGCTTGTTTTAAAGTTTAGTTATTCAACTATGTAATCATTTTACTCTTCAGTTTTTACCTTGATTTTTGTGATTAATTTTCACTAGTTTCATGTCTTGAAATAGACAAAGTTTTATCAACTACCTTGTTACTTATAGATTAGTTAGTCATGTTGACTTATTTTGAATTGTTGAAGATAAATATCTTTTTATTACTTTGACTATTTGAGTTAGTTGTGGTTTAGTGAAATGAAATTTTGGACCATGGTCGGATTTGAACCACCGAACGCCAGGTTCCCGACCCAATGCCTGTACCAACTGAGCTACGAAGTTCAACTACTGACCAGATTTTGATTTTACTTCAATCACTATGGGTTTTATCCGACTATCATATGAACTCATAAAGCGTTACTGCTGCTTGATCATATTCATACTGGCTGCCTAGTCAGGAATTCTCATTCCAATCGAAATGTATCTGAATTAGAATGAGAGGGGGAATATTATATTGATTATCATTTGACTATTTGAGATAGCCGTAGTTTGACAGACTAGTATTTATACAATATTGAAGTGAAGGGAATTTTCTTCTGGACGAGTCATTTTCAAGAGCTGTACATCTTAATCATAGTTACAACAAAATATGCATTTATCAGATTTTCAACACGAACGTCAAGTCAGTGCTTCTGTATGGCTCAAAGACTTGGCGCATTACGAAACGGATTTCCAACAAACTACAGACATTCATCAACAACTGAATGGCCAGAATGATAAGAATAAGCAAGAAGGAACTCTGGCTGTCAACGCACCAACCAAGAACCCATCACTCAACAAATATGCAGAATGGGGAAGTGGAGATGGATTGGATTGAGTATACACTGAGAAGGTCGACTGGGGACATCACGCAGTTGACCAGACCCTCGAGTGGAACCCAGATGGGAAGTGACGAGTTGAGCGTTTGATGTGAGGGTGTCATTGAGGAGATGGTGTTAGGAGGAAATGAGAGGTTGTTGGCTGCCGTGGAACCAGGTTGAAAAGATTTCAGAGAGTAGAATGGAGTGTAGACGTGCTAGTGAACCCCTATATTCCACTAGGTACCCAAGGGATAAATAAATGATAATAATGTATTTATCAGTAACTAATGGGTCAGTGTGAAGTCATCAAAAATGGTCATAAACGTCTAGAAAGTCAAATCAAGGACGCCAAAAATTGCTTATAAGGTTACAGTAATTAAGGAGAGAAAAACAGATAAACTGTCTTAGGGAGATTATAACCAAGGCAAAATTACAGATTGAATGCATTGCTTTTGAATACAAAGATTAAGTTTGTAACACTCGATTGCCATAGCCTGTACTGTATTGAAGTGGTGAATAGGCACTCTCTTCAAAATATATTGACTTCATTCTATGAATGACCATGAAAGAACACTCATTATGGAGCACAGTGACCAGAGATAAACGAATACTAAAGAATCGAACTGTTGACGACTTGATATTGAAGCATTAGTCATTGATGGATAAGTATTTTGTTGTAAATATGAATGCACTGTACAGCTTTTGAGAATGATTCGTCAAAAAGAAAATTATCTTTGCTGAATTATCTCTTATTAATAGAAAAGTGGTTACATATTTTGACTGATAATGTTGATTTGGTAAAATTTTCAAGTATACTGTGATTTCGAGCACTCAGGTTGCTTGCTGTTTATGCAATGCATACTCGAATCAGTCATCAGTGGGTTAGCGACATAGCTGTGTAGTCAGTAGTGCTTAGAATCTATCAGAGTTTATCAACTCCAGTCTACAATGCAGATAGAATGACGGTGTAGTACGCTAAGTTTCGATGTAAAATGGTGAGAACCAGTCGGCAGGAAGCTTTGGAACTAGGTTTTGTGCTTCCTGGCAGCGAATCATATCTGCAACCACACGGAAAGTGAGGTTTCTGCGGTGGTTCGAAACTAAGTCACTTAGTGCTGAAATTAGAGACTTAGCTGTTTAGTTGTTCAAGCCATAACTGACTCTTAATGGGACTAGATTATAATAGAGAACACATCAGCGTCATGTCTGTTTGCATAGTGTGCACAGTAGAAAACATGTTCCGTAGAAGTCGATCGATGCCAAGCAGAAAGGACTAAATAGCCACGCCGTTTACCTACTGGTAACCAATATGTGTAAAAACGAGGTGCTAACTAGTTCATCTTTTCCGGATTTATATCTACATACTTCGACTAAATGATGCATGTCATACACTTTGTGCACGTCAATTATCACAGATTATATTCTTCTAATTCAGTGCAAGCATGTACAACGTAAAAAGGAACTGAACACAACGTATAAAACACTGGACAAAGAAGTGAAGAAGAGTACACGGAAAGACAAAACACACTTGTACGACACATTAGCAAGTAGACCAGAACAGGCTCCAGGTAGGAGAGACCTGAGCGCATTATATCAAGTGACCAGGTTACTGTCTGTGAAGAGATCAACACGGATGAAACCAATGAGAGATAGTGAAAATAACCTAGTTACCGAAGAAGAGAAGCAAAGGGAACGATAGGCTGACCACTTCAAAAAACTCTTGGATCGACCACTACCTACATCTCTTCTGGAAATACCACCAGCCACGGCGGAACTACAAATGAATACAGGTCGTCCGACAAAGCAGTCCTGAATGCCATTAAACTGCTGAAACCTGGGAAAGCAGCACGACCGGATGGAATTCCGCCAGCAGCACTGAAAACAAACGCAGAGACAACAGTAAACATGTTCACACCACTACTGTAGAAGGTTTGTAAGGAAAGAAAGGTACCTGCCGATTGGAAATAGGGTTACCTTGTCAAAATCCCAAAGAAGGGAGATCTGAGTTTTGCAAGAGCTAGCGCGGGATCATGCTGCTGTCCACCCCAAGCAAAAATATTATGCCACATCATCCTGGAGAGACTAAAGGATGCTCTGGACTCAAAATTAAGACCGGAATAGGGCTGGCTGGCTGCCTTCAGGAAGAACAAATCATTTGTGGAACAAACTGCAACACTACTCTACGCATCATCATAGAATAGAGTATAGAATGGCAGTCAACTTCCCACCTCAACTTCATCGACTTTGAAAAGGCCTTCAATAGCGTCGACCGAGAAGTAATTTGACAAGCAGCTGCTTCAACACCAAGATTTCAGTGCCACAATGGAATGCTGAGTGATGCCTTCAAAGTGAAAACAGTGGATAAGAGTAAGACAAGGCTACCACCTACTATCAACAATCATGTTCCTGATTGTGGTCGACTGAATTGAATCAGCGAAATACTGTGGCAAGTTGTGAGAAGATGGGCATGCACCGTTTAACTGATGAAAATACCCCAGATAAGATTTGGATTTCACCAACTATGGTGATTTATGTTTGATGTCTTGTGGCACGAACTCGAAGATCTACAGGCAAAAAGCAACAAGTTGACAGAAGAGGCAGGGCAGCGAAGATGGAACTTCAGGTGAACGTAAAAAAGGGAGAGGTGATGAAGATACCCAACCAACAACAGCAACAACAAGCCCCAATCACCATGAACGGGAGAAACCTAGAGGAAGTTGTCTCTTTCACCCACCTACCTGCCTAGGCAACATCGTTTCAACTACAGGCGGCACTGGCAGACATAAGGATGTCAAATCCAGCCAGCATCGGAAAGACAACAAGACAGGCTTTCCTACATTAACCTGTTATCAGTGTGGAGGTCTTCGGTGCACTGTACTCAGCATAAAGCATGAACAACTTCTGGATTTTCAATACTAATTCGATCAAGTCAGTGGTTCCATGTGATGGTTGAGAGACTTGGCGCATTACGAAAAGTATTTCCAACAAACTATAGATGTACAACAATAAGAGCTGCCTACGCTCGACTCTGAAGACCAGATGGTCAGAAAGAATATCAACAGGGAACTCTGGGAGCGAACCAACAAAGAACCCATAGCCCAACAAATATGTTGAAGAAAATGGAGATGGATTGGATTGGACATACACTGAGAAGACCATTCGGAGACATCACACGTCAGGTCAGACAGGCGCTGGAGTGGAAGCCGAATGGGAAACGACGAGTTGGGTATCTGAGGTAAGGGCGACATGGAGGAGAATTTGTGGGTGGAAGAAATGGAAGGTTGTTGGCATTGGTGGAGCGAGGTTGAAGGGTATGAAGTGGCGTTGTACTGCTGAAGCTGTATGTTCCACTAGGAACCCCAAGGGAAAAATAATAATGATATTCTTCTAATATTAGATTTACGTGGAAAGAGCATAAATCTACCATCCTGTCAAAAAGTTGGTCAGCGATATACTGTAGTATTCAAGTGATAGCTACTTAGTTAAAATAACTTCATACTACTTAACTTACCGGTTGTAGTTGCTAACAGATAAGGTGAAAACGATGTTGCAGTGGATAATATATTATAAGCACCAACGGATACGCGATATGTTGTGGCTTTCTGAAGACCTAGATAATGTGGATATGAAAAATAGTTGAATTACATTTTAATCTCACTATTATTTGAAATTACATAAAATTTCGAAAAAGCAAACGGGACAATTCTTGTGAAATAACCTTTCTACCTTTGTTTAAATTTATCAAGGAAATCAAATTTATAAGATGAAATTCATTTATGTATAGTAATGATGAGCAGTGGCTAGCAGTGGAATCCAGAAGGCGCATTTCGTCCTATTTGGGACTCACTGATCAGTTGGATGTATCTGCCTCCCAGTGAGTGGTGTTGTTCCCACCGACATTCGGACTGGGGAGTGATTGCTTCAAATGCCACAGAGTTATCCATTACACCATCGACACCGACGACAATGTCATACAAGCAATAACATTAAAATTCATTTCCTAGAATATTTCTAACTTAATAACCATCCCTTAAGCTTTTCCTATCAATGATGAACATAAAATAAGGTAGAGCTTAATGAAGAGATAAAGCCCAATTTGACCGTCATCCTTCATTGTTTCATCTTTGGAATTTGTAAATTGTCGATAAATTCTTCAATTTTCAATTTTATTACCTCACTAATGTTGTGTCTCAATGAAGTATCCAAGATAATAAAAAAACTACTTATTTTCTGCATAGAAAATTGAATTCAAGATATATGATCCAGGTTAATCATACCTTCAAAATTATCAGTATACAGAGAACAGTCAGTCTACTTTGTCTTGTAGAAGATACTTTAATCAAAAGATTATTCATTAACTCATGTAAACAAAAATGCCAGTGTGATTAACTGAACATTATCCTGGTGAATACATTTCAACTATGTTGTATAATTTTCTTCTTGTTGTGATCTTCAATCATAGATTTGAAATCATTTCTAAATTCTAAATATATGAGCTGCCTACATATCTTCTATCTGTTTTTTTTATTCCAATACATTTAACTGAGTGATGTTTAGTGCATAATCCTTGACTTTAATTATTAAAGTGTTGTCTTGTCTGTATAATTCCTTGAACTGACAACGTACTGCACACTACGAGTTTTGAATTTGCCTTTGCCTGAAACAGTTAATGTGTACATTGATTGATTACTCTTCAGTGATAAATCTGTGTGTCTAATACAGTTCTACAGGAGATCAATAACGGTCTCATTAGCAAAATGATAAATTTACTGACCTTAACACTGGGTGATACGGGTTCAAATCTCAAAAGGAACATAGATTCTCTTGAGGTTGCAGGCATGTCATGTTGATGAATGACTACAAGCCCGAAACCCACGTTCATAGCTTCCTGCCGACTGCCATACAAATCATCCAACACTTAACTGTGTTAAATATCTTTTTGTGATTATGATAACTTTTATAAATTTAGGCTGTTTGCAGGTAATGAAAAGCTGTGAGACAAAATTCAAACATATTATCATGCAAATGTCTCTATTTTTTCCTTGATCAAGTTGAGCAAAAGTACCGAAATTTTCGAAAAGTGATTAGGAATAATGTTGAGTCTAGGATGTCTCTAACCTCACCTGCTTAACTAGTTCACTAGTTACTAGGCAGTCCTAAGACTAAATAAAGAGAGAAGGTTGGACGTAGAGCTAGAAACCCTACCTCGTATCACGAAAAGCATTTGCAACAAACTACAAACGTTCATCAACAACTGCCACCCACACCTACACTCACTCGATAATGAAGATCACACCAAATGGCCAGAATGATAAGCAAGAATGACCAACAAGCAACTCTGACCTCCTAACCAACCAACGAGACAAGAAGCTATCACCGAACAAATATGAGGAAGAAGAAGAAGAAGGGAGTTGAGATTGATTGGATTGTGTATACACTGAGAAGGTGAAGTGGGGACATGATGCAGCAGACGAGGCCGTGGAGTGGAGTGTAATGGGAAGGGGAAACGATGAGTTGGTCTTGTGATGTGAGTGTGACATGGATGAGATGATGTGGGGAGGAGATGGAAGCTTGTGGGTAGTTGTTGAGTGAGGTTTTGAAGACTGTAGATAAGAGAGTGGAATGGAGGTATGCTGCTGAAGCTGTATGTTCCACTAGGAACCCAAGGGGAAAATAATAATAATAGTAAGATGTCTCTACTACCTTAGATGTTTTACAGAAAAATGAGGTGATACTGAGTTAGATTTCGAATACACTAAAAGGTCCACATATTTACCTAGAATATTGTAAGTTAACACCTCATTATCAAGATCTTCTTTAATATTCACTTTATCATACTGATCTGGATCTTCATTTGGTTGCCATTGCAGCTACATGAAAGGAAATAGAAAGATAAAAAATGATGAGTAAGTTACAGCTTGTTTTGAATATGTTTTAGTCAATGAATAAGAAAGCTGTGAATTATAAATCATAATGTAGGTTCTTATTCACCGAAAAAAAAGTCGGTTAGTGATTGCTGTCTACAAGTGAACTCAATAGAGAAGCATCAACGTCATCAATCGATTAGGCAGTTTAGTCTATGACATCTTGGTGCATCTTCTGAGAAAAAAGTCTTCAATAAATAGGATAAGATTTAGGAGTTACCTTTATGCTTTTGTTGATATCTTGTAATTGAACACTGATGTATGGACAGTGTGTGAGCGATTATTAAAGCTACCCTGGCAACTGGTGAGATGACTAATTAGACTCTTTTATTATATGAAAAACTACCCTTCTTGCCAGAATACCGAAACCTGATTGGTTATTTCAGTTGTTGCTTGAGTGACCTTTAAAGTCACTTTTTATCTGTTCTATGGAAAATTGTCTTCTCAACCAAAATACTGCAATCTGATTGGTTATTTTAACCTTTTAAGTCTCCCCTAAGTGATGATAGAAAAAATTAAAGGTTTAATTTCCTTTCTTTAATTATGTGAGATATATGTTAACAAGTTGTCAGCTATCTCAGAGCTTGAAGATTTGGTGATAACTGCTTTATTTCAGAATTTAATTGAATGCTTTAAAATGAGAAATATCCTTCTTCTACATAGTTTTAATTTGAATGTATTTAACTAAGATCTTTATAGTATATCGACAACTGACACTATGGTTTAAATAAAAGTTTACTATTATACGAATAATCTTAACTGATGTTTTACCTATCCATCAACATTTCTCTAGTTTAAAATGTCTCATCTAAATAGTCATCGTAACGATGAAGTGTCTACTTCCTAATTTGACTGATATTTTGATCTAAAATTTCAATCAGATTATAAACATTCAAGTTATAGTTATATCCTGAAAGAAGTTGAACGCCGAGTCAGTATGATTCATTTAATAGATAAGTTTTAATATAATCTCAGTGTCTAGAAAATAAAAAACAAGATTTTCTGAATGTTTCTCTGTGTATGCTACAGTTTCTTCAACAGAATCTACTTCCTAGTTGATAATAAACGTCAAAGGTTTCAGCTACAAAATTATAATTGACAGAATATTAGCAATTGGAGATTATTTAAATACTTTAGAAGATGGGAATATGAGTAGACCAGTGTAAAAATACATTACTATACTTCTCTTTCAATAGTATTTCTTGGTATACAGTAAATGGTGTACCACTATTAAATAAACATCATCCCAGTCAAAATTTATCATTAACCTAGCTTGGTTAACTAGTTCACTAGTTACTAGCCAAACCTAAGCCCGGGTAAAGGGGGAAGGTTAGGCATAGGGCTAGCAACCCTACCCCGGAAAACCAATCCAACCGCTAAAGAAACTTCGAAGAACAAACAAAATATAAAAAATGAAAACAAAATTATTCGTCGCTGGAAACGGAAAGGCGAAATAACGCCGGTTGGTGAAAGCCTTTGGGAAGCCAATTGGCCTATGTGTCTTTCCTCTCTCTCGATGAAAGCGAAAGTAAATGTGGGAACATGGAATGTCCGCACCATGTTTGAACCTACCAAGGCTGCCCAGATTGCAAACGAGATGAGAAGGTATCGCATGGAAGTGTTAGGAATTTGTGAAAGCAAATGGAATGGAATGAATCTTAAATCTTCTAGTGCATAATGAACTAATGTATGATGAAAAGCAAGGCTTGGTAGTGCTGTGAAAACCAATTTTATACATAAATAATAAATAAATCCAAGGGGAATTTGTATAGTTTCGAACAAAAAGAGGCAACTCATGTTTAGAGTTAGGGTAGAATAGAACTACTTAGGAAGTAAACAAAATTTAATGGAAGTGAAAGTGAATCTAAGCCAGATCTTGTTTGCCTGTTAAAAAAAGCTTTCTGTTATTAGATGTACCATGTTTCCAACAAGAAACTGGAAAATAACAAGCTGAAAATTTCATCAACTCAATACTAGTAGTGGGAGTTTGCTTACACTAAATCCTATCACCCATAACAACTGCTTTAATGCTTTTTCATACTTGTTTATTGAAGTATATCTTAGTGTTGTGTTCATTTATAAACATTTATTTAATATGTTATTCTGAAAGATTGCAGGTTGATACCTGCAATACTGTAGTTAAAATGATGCTACTTGATTTAATTTCCTATTGTATCCAGCCAAAACTGGTTAGAAATAAAGTAGATTACAAGTCTTCATCTCTACTTTAACTTCTTACACAAGTGTTTGAACAATTATTCATTTTTTTAATTCCCAGATGTGTTTAATGATGGATTGTCGCTTGCAGCGGAATCCAGGACATGCGTTTCGTCCTCCTTCAGACACGTCAGTGAGTGATATTGTTCTCATTGAGACTCAAAGTCGACACCGATCGCTATTAATGGCAGAGCGTTATCCACTACACTACCGAGCCATGATAGCCAATTCTTATGCGACGGGTACAGTTTTAATGTTGTTGTTTGCATTATACTACCCGTCGCACAGAACTGCCTATCGTGGTTCGGTGGTCTAGTGTATCACAAATATTTAAAGGTATCTGTTCCCATCCATTTTGAAAAGGTGAAAACTGAAATCGAAAAAAATACAAGTACCTCTACAAAAGTATAACCGATGATAAACACTAACTGCATGAATATTATCGTCTTCTAATCTATGATGATCAAGTTCATGTATGTAAATACACCATACCATAAGCTATCATAAATTTCTCTTATAAAATGTTGTTGAAGTTGACGGAGCATTTTTGATTTGTGTTTTACACTAATCTTCGGTATCATTGCATAAAAAAAACTCACATCAAAGTAATTTTACTTCATACAAGCTGAAATTTGTATACTATGGGAAAATTAAAAGAATTTGTGAATTGAGAGACAAAGAATGGTTTGTTTTCTATCAGAAATATATATGCCAACTGAAATTGCAACTCAGACAAATCTTTGCAAAGCTTCATTCTCTATGATATTGTTCACTGAAGGTGTTAAATCGTATTTTTAACTATTGTTGAAAACGAATGTCAGTCCATTATTAGATAACATGTTAGTCTCAATCAGATAGCTGGAAAAAAGTTGCATTCTAAGACTGTATCCTAAGTTTGACCAAACGTTTCGAAGGGTATGCTATTTACAAACTTGTTTATGACGAAATTATTCATGAACTACCATTTCATGTCTCTTCTTTATTTGCACAGGAATAATCTCTAATCAGTGAGAAATGTTTTAATCCCTCCCTTATTCTTACTTACTCTTCTTAGCATAAGGCATTGTGCCATTATCATTACTGAAGCTTCAATGATTCATATGTAAAGAGGGCAACTAACTACCAAACTTTACGTTTTTATAATTACTTCTACTTTTATAGATTATCATCTAGGGTTTTGTGGATTAATACTTCTGGTACTATGTCAATGACGTTATCTACGCCGTTTACTCAAAAACAGACAGCCACTTGATTCGAACGATGGCTAACACAATTAACCAACTTAAGTAACTAAGTAGGAAATTGTGAGGAAGCAAGTTTTCTTTGCAGAATTATTTTACCCACTTGTTGTTACCGAAACCGTCAAGTAATACCTGCCAAATTCATTAGAATATGATGAAATGTATTTTTTTAACACTGAATTGTATTTTCTATGTGGAACTGTAAAGCATTTGTAAACTGCCTTCTAATGATGATGTTTTGTTCCAAATTAAGTGGCTATCTTATCTCTTACACCTTACTATGACCAATTATTTCTCGACAACAGCATATAGAGGAAATACTTTCCATTTCTGTCAGCTGAAAAAGATGATTTCAGGTGTTCATACTATAGAAACTCTCGAAATTCACCTAAGCTTTTGAATTGCCAAACAATGTATGAGTGGTTTTTGAAGCTATACACATAAAATTTAAATCTGAATACATCTACGTGTTTAAAAGTACGATGCGTGTTTTCATCACACTCGTCTTTAGATTTTGTCAGGAATATGTTAAAGGTAACTTTTCAATGCAGTTCTCAACATTTTTATTTGTCTGCAGTTGCCAGAAATGTGGACCATAGGATATTAAGCCAGTGGCTCAGTTGTAACCTGAAGACCATGAGACCACGAGACCTGAGGATCCTGGGTTTGACCGTGGGTCGATTTCCGGTAGCTGTGGTTGTTGTACAGTCTCACAATAGAATGAAATAACTGTCCAATGATCCGAGGTTTACAATGGTCCCTGAATTGCTTTCAGTTTATGACGAATGCCAACTTGTAATCAATGAATAAATCACTGCAAGCCTCAAAAAGTGAATTGTGTATTATCTATTATCTATTTATATGAAATTACTTAAGAACCGTAGTGAGTTCTTAAGCAACATATTCGTGAGACTCCTTATTAAATGAATGATTTCTTAGACAAGATGAAGTAGTAATGTATAATTATATTCAGCATCACTGATTTTACAGAACCCAATGTACTATCCAACAACCTTACACATCTCATGGTCAACACCTTCAACGCAATTCGATATGAAGCACAATATAGACAGATTCTTACTACAAAGTAGGTAAACAATAGAGTGAATACTATTGATCAGTAGTGAGATGACACTTTCTGTTCATTATCTACAGATTATGAAGCTTTTATCATTGGCTACTATATTGTCTCTCGTAATTTCACTTACTAAGGTTTAAGTTGAAGAAGAGGCTTTACAGAATTGTAGAAAACAGATGGAACATTATAATACAGTAATCTCAATAAACAAGCTCTTCAGTAAATAGCTTATCTCCTGGAATGTATCGTACTAAATTAAACTGATTTTCTATAGTTTGAATACTTGAGTATACTACTGGAGCGATTGGTTTGCTCTTCTTGCTAGTGTATGGTAATTAATTCAAAAGATTAGGTAAAATCTTTCAGTCGATAAACCTTGTCTCTGAATGATCTCGAAGGCTTAGAAGTTG